GCTCACGATGACTCCTCCCAAGGAGGCCCCCGAAGACTCCCCGAAACCCCAACTGGCCAACCCAAACGCCGAGTGGCCACGTCGATCTTTGGAAGCACAGAGACCTTCAGCACGCCTGGCGCTGCCAGCAAGTTCGTCTTGAACTCCTCCCGAGTCAGCAGGCGCTGAGGATGGAGTTCCACCATGCCCGAAAAGGAATTCCCCTTGTACTCGCATCGTTGCGCGAGTCTGCGCGAGCCCGGGTAGGTTGCCTCTGTCCCTGGGGCTGGCAAAGCCTGGCCCTGGGACACAGGCAGGGCATGTCTGAGCATGCGGGCGGCGCCGGCCATGGCCGCGGGGCCGGCCAAAGGTCCGCGGGAACTCTCCGAACACAGAAACGCGATGGGCTGCGGTCTGACGGCGTCAACGACGGCACAGCATACAGCACGGCATGATGATGCAACAAGGCCCCTGGACCGATTCACGAGTTCCCAAGGGAACCTGAAGGGAAGTCCCGACGGCGACTCCGACAGCGACGGCGACGGCGGCGACGACGACGACGACGCCGACGCCGACGAGGCCCCACAAGAGCCCCAAGAAGCCCCACAAGCCCCGCAGAGGCCAACAAGAGGCCCCAACAGGCTCTTGAAATGGCCCCCGACGAGTCTCAGAGGTGCCTCCCCGCAACCTGCGAAAGGCCTTCGGTGGCGGAATGGGGCGAAGGCCATCCGATTCGATCGATATCGCAACCGGTCTGACTCTCGATCGCACAAGCGACCCCGCTGTTGACCACACTGGCGGGACACCGGCGGGACGCCAGCGGGGCGCGGACACCAGCGGGGCAACGCGGCCGATCGGCTGTCGACGACGACGAACCGTCATCGCCACTCCATTTTCGTTGCCGTTTGGAGCTCGCGCCGACATCCGAAGGCACCGTTAGCCGAAACAGGGCGGGCGGCTGGAAAGCCGGCGAAGGTGTGACTCATCTGGCCACAGAGTACTGCAGCGCTGGCAAAGCCTGGCGCAGCCCGTGCCCCCCCTTGCACTTACGTCTTGCTCGGCGCGATCGAGACACTGGGAGTCAAGACAACTCGCCCCATGGATTTCCCTCCAATGGCCTCCGCAGCTGCCTTCCGTCGGAGACCATCTTCATGAAGTCCTCGTGCGGGGGAGGCGCCCCTGCTGCCGCGCCAATGGTGGCGGCCGACGCGCGGGCATTCTGCCAGCTCCGCCACTCCACGTTCGCATAGTACGGGTTGTTGGCCTTGAGCCACTCCCCGGTTGAAGGCGTGGCGGATGCGCCCGAGGCGACGGCGGCGGCCGATGCACTGGCAAAGCCTGGTGTCGCGACCTCGGAATTGGAGCCGACGGCGGCGGCCGTGGCGCTGGCATTATGCGTGCTCCACCAGTCCTCCTTTTCCTTGGGCGTCCAGCTCCACCACTCCTCCTGTTCCTTGGGCGTCCAGCGCCACTCCTCCTGTTCCTTGGCCGATGCACTGGCAAAGCCTGGTGCTCGCGCGTCGTCCTCTGGCGGCACGTTGTCCAACGCGAGCTGCCGTGCCCCCTGTGCCCATGCGATGACCATTCCCGTCTTGCCCTTGGGCCTCCATGTGAACTCGGGGTGGCTCTCGATGAAAGCTTTGAGCCCCCCAGGAACCAAGAGCCTGTTGAACTTGTGGTACACGCGCTCGTCCTCCGGTTTGAACCCCATCTTGTTGCGTGAAATCTGAGATGGATCGAACTCACCGCCATGCGCGTCCAGGCATTGTTGCAAAAGTGCAACCATGCGCGCGTCAGCGTCAAGCGTGCCAGCCTCCTCGCCGGCACCCCGGAGGCGCGCAAGGGGCGTGCGCTGGCAAAGCCTGGTGCCCCGCGTCGGCGCCGGGCAAATTGGCCACCAGCTGGTCCGGCGACACCTTCCAGTGCCCAGGTCGGAGCAGAAAATCCTTCGGAGACTCGCTGATGAGCGAAGCGACGGCTCGAAGGCAAGCGATCTCCGACGCTTCGTTTTTGCTTGCGCCTTTCCCTGTAACCTCAACCCGACGGCCATCTCCCGCTGCAAAGCTGTTCGGCAAAGTCAGGGTGCACCGCCACTCTGCACTGGCAAGGCCTGGCGCAGCGAATTCCTTGCAGTTCTTGACGGAGCTGACCACGGGCCCTCCGTGCACCTTCGGGCGCGTGGAAGAATGGTTATTGAGGACGGTGCGCCACGAAATGTTATGGACGCGGTGCTCCAACAGATACGCTTGGACGGCCATGGCGCCCGCGCGGCCGCCCGAAGGAACGGCGCGCGCTCGGGGAGAGCGGCTGGCAAAGCCTAGCCTGTACTGGGCGGATCAAAACGAGTGCGGGAGTGGCGCGGCAAGGACGAGGTACCCTGCTTGAGCCGAACCCCGCTAAGCGGAAAGCTTCGATCTACCTCTTGCTCTGCCCCTACTCAGATGGCACGGGCCCGAACGCGAGCAGGGCTCTCCAGAAACAATAATCAAGATACGGGGGCCTTCTCTACGTCCTTCAGGGGCCTCGGTGCGGCGCGACATTGCACCGTGGATCGGCCCCGGAAGCGGCGCAACACTGTGCGTGGTGGAGGAGAACCTGAGAGAAGACCTCATTCGCTGTCTCATTCGGTCTCACTACCGATCTCACAATCGATATCACTATCGACGTCATCATCATCATCATCAACATCAACATCACATCATCATCATCGCCATCATCAACATCATCTCATCATCATTTCATCATCATTACCATCATCATCCTAATCATCATCATAATCATCATCAACGTCATCATCGGGACACCGACGGGACACCGACGGGACACCAGCGGGGCACCGGCGGGACACCGCGCGCCACCGGCCGCCCGGCGGAGAATCATTTGGTCCGGCCGCGCCTCAGCCACAGGAGACTTTCCTCTCGCCCGCCCACGCAGCTTCGCCTCGCCCGCACGGCACGCACGAACACGAAACCGAAATCGATTTCCCGGTAGGGGGGCTCTCCGTTCCACTTCGATCTCACCCCCCAACCTCCGATTCTATTTTCCCCACCAGGCAGGTTGGGGTCGATAGATTTTACGAAAAGACCTCCCGACACATCCACTCTACATACCGCGGCCGCCAGATCCCCATGTCCGCCGAGTACCCCGAGAGTCCCGCCTCGCGCCACTCTGCGCACCGCGGCCACCAGATCCACAGGTCCCCCGAGTGTCCCCGAGCGCCCCGCCCCGCGCCACTCAGCAAAACGCGGCCGCCAGATCCCCAAGCCTCCCGAATATCTCCGAGAGTCCCGCCTCGCGCCGACTCGCCAACTCTGCCCACCGCGGCCGCCAGATCCCCAGGTCCCCCGAGTGTCCCCGAGTCCCCTAGGGTCCCGCCTCCCGCCACTCTGCATACCGCGGCCGCCAGATCCCCATATCTCCCGAGTGTCCCCGAGTGCCCCGCCTCGCAACGACAAATCATAGCATGGCAGAGAAATATTATGGCATAGCAGAACATAATACAGCACAGTACGAAGGGCAGGACATACCACCACCCATAATATAGCTATGACAGGACAGGGCATAACACCACACCGCACAACATACTATGTCCGATTCTAACATGCCATGCCATGACAGGACACATCGTAACATAGCACACCATGCCAGAGCAGTAGATACGATAACACATAATCACAGCACAGAACATGTCATGCCATTATTAAGCAAGCAAGCCAACTGAACAGATCGCAGAGCCGGGTATGACACAATCATAACATGTCACAGCTTCGTAAACCATGGAAACATACATCATAGCACGAGACTGCATATCGACGCACGCCATGACATGTCAGAGCACCTATACTATACCATGCCATAACAGAGCATAGCAAACCATACCAGGACAGGCCAGATCATACCACAACATACCATGACAGACCACACTACATCATGACACAGCATCAGAGCGCAGGACATTACATACCATCGCACAGCAAACATACCGTAAGAACACTTCGCAAAACTGCACATACAAAACGAGAATATGTCAGCACAGATGGCAAACCATAACATGGCAAAGCGCGGCATACGATGTTACATCATAGCAGGACATAACAACATAATGCCGTAACATACGACAAACTGGAGCATACATAACAGAGCATCACACCACCCCCTCATAGCATAACATATGAATCTATACCATATCATAGCATCACTTACCATGGCAGAACATATCACACCGTACCACAGCACCAAAACATATCGCATTCCACAACTATTCGAACGCGACGTGCGCACCGTTGGGAACAAACGCCGAAGGTTTCGATGGGGATCGCTCGAAGCGAAACAATTGCTGTTGGGGGACAGGGGGCTCGGGGATTCGAAGCGAGACACCACTTGCGACGGCAAGCGGCGACAGCGGAGGAACGATACGACCAGAGTGTGGAGATCGATGGTCCTCAAAACGTCTGTTAGCGCCAACGCGTGCCTGTCCAGCAAGCCCCAGCGGTACGACGCAACGGTTGTGCTGAAGGTCAACGCAGGCTGCTCACTACCGGTGGAACTGGGCGGCATGATGATACATTGGGACAGCACGTTTGCCTTGGCAACCGTCGCTCTGCGTCGCTAGCCCTTGGCGGCGGATTTTCTCGGGATGGAGAAGGAATATCAATGACACGCTTCCATTGGTTGCCTGTCAGAGCGTTGCTCGTTCGTTTCTGCCCGAATGTCTGGTGCTTCCTGAACAGCTGCACGCTGACAAGTTCCCCAAGGCGGCGTGTCACTGACACTGCTTTTGGGTATCACGAAGATGCAACTACGGATGCTCCACGGACCTCACCGCGGGCCTTCTGACCAGAACTCCGAAGCGCATCCAGCCGTGGCGACGAGGGCATCCCAGGAGGCGCAAAAAGGCGAGAACGACAGCGGTAATGCCGCTGCCCTTCCCTCCTCTGGAAGCCAACGCGCGCCCTGAGGACCACCGAGGAAAACACCGAGCGCGGCAGCGCGGCGCGCCGACTCGCGCCGATTCGCGCGAGTCACGGGCAACCAGCCTCGCTCGGGCGGCTGCTGCTCCAGAGGTCCGGCTGCGCCAGGTCGGGCCAGCCAACCGGGCCTGGGAGGGGTTACTCGTCGTCGTCGTCCTCCTCCTCCTCCTGCTCCATTCCTTTTCCTCATAAATAGCTCCTCCCCGTCGCACCCCGAGGCCAATTCTTAGGTCGGGCCGGGCGTTTCGCCTGAGATTTCCTCACCGTTGATGACTTTGGCAAAAATTGGCAACAGTTTCCAAAATGTAGCTCTCGCTTTAGCGCGGCGCACATTGCTTTCAAACATTTGCAAGAAATGTGGCTCTCGCCTTAGCGCCGCGCACATTCGTTTACAAACTTTGCAAGAGTGTCACGGGTTCCCATCACCAACGTACCAGAAATAGTGTTATGAAAGGATTCAGGAGCATGCGGGTGCAACATATGTTGATTCCCCAAGAGTGGCATTCTGGCACGATTCTGGATCGTTCAGACGCATCAACCAGGTTGATCCATGGCATTCGCATCCCGAGAACAATGTTCTGGCATGCTTCAGAGTCTTCAAACGATTGTATTCCAACGAGGCAGTTTCATCAATGGAAATTAACCGTTGTAGGGGCCTATGAAGAGGGAGCTTGGAGGGAGGAGTTATTCCAACATCGTTGATGACTCTTGGGCTTACACTGGTCCTCCTCCTCCTGCTCCTCCGCCTTCTCCTCCTCCTCCTCCTGCTCCTACTCCTGCTCCTCCTCCTGCTCCTCCACTCTTCCTCGTCCTTCTCCTCCTCCTCGTCCTCCAACTCCTCCTCCTCCTCCTCCTCCTCCTCCATTCTTCTCCTCCTCCTCCTCCTCCTCCTCCTCCTCCTCCTTTTCCTCTCCCTTTTCTTCTTACAATGAAAGAGCATAGCTGCTGGGCGCCGGAGGCACGGGCCAAGATCCCCCCTCCCGACTTCCGGGTTGGCACGACCCTCGGGGGGGGCGGTCGGGGATGGCGCAGCGCAGCCGACAAGGGGTCCCCTGGGAGGCCACCTGCGAACCCGACCCCACCCTCCCACGATTTCCGAGGGGGAGGCGGGGTGGGGCTCGCACGTGGCATCCTATTTCCTGGGAAAGGGCATTTGGGAACTTTAGGAGGACAGTGCCGTTTTCAATTTCTAGGTTCGCTCTTCAACTTGCGCCCTTCGGGATCGAAAGGAGGAGGTGGAGTGGAGGGCCCCCTCTCCGAGGGCCGCCCCGAGCTCCCGCCCGCCTGCGGGCGCGTCCCCGAGGGCGGAGAGCTGCGCGTCCAGCTCCCCGAGCTGCTTGTCAAGCACGGCGACCTCCGCCTGCAGGCCCGCGGCCTCGATCTCCGCCTTTTTTGTGGCAGGGGGAGGAGATCGTCGTCGTCGTCGTCGTCGTCGTCGTCGTCGTCGTCGTCGTCGTCGTCGTCGTCGTCGTCGTCGTCGTCACCGTCGGAAGAGAAGGAGGAGGAGGAGGAGGAGGAGGAGGAGGATATCCGAAGCAGGAGGGCGATCAGGATGATGATGATGATGATGATGATGATGATGATGATGATGATGATGATGATGATGATGATGATGATGATGATGATGATGATGATGATGATGATGATGGCGATGATGATGATGATGATGCTGATGATGCTGATGATGATGATGATGATGATGATGATGCTGATGATGATGAGGAGGAGGAGGAGGAGGAGAAGGGAGGAGGAGGACGAGGAGCAGGAGGACGAGGATACTGACCAGGAGCAGGAGGAGTTCTTGCTATGCGCAGCTGCCTACAAACCTCCGTGGCCAGCCCAAAATTACAGACAAGGAAAATAACCGCAAAAGGCGGAGAGCCCACTGATACTGGAAAACACGCAACTGGGAAACAAATCTGGCCGTGGACCCCACTCGCCAACTCCGACTCGTGGTGGCAGACGCTTCAGGACGATCGCTGAGGCAATATACTAGACTTCCGTGCGAGAAGGGCGGTCGTGTGCGATCGCTTCGCGCTCCTGCGTCAGGAACCTCGGAAGGACCTCGGCGTATCTGCCGCACCCACTACGGAAAACGAAAGCTCCCTTATTGAGGTTGGCGGAGGACGTGGCTGCGTCAACCTCGATGCGCGAATCGGGCTGGGTGGTCAGGTCACTGCGTCAGACGGAAAAGCTGTTCGTCGAAAGGAGGCACGGAAGCAAACCTCGGAATGAGACAAATAAGACAAACGCGCGCACGAACGGGCGCCGCGGGCAGGGATGCAAAGAAATTGCGCGCCGCAAAATTGGCCTTACGTCGAGAGAGACATCGACTGTCGGACTTGAAAACGATCCGGCCACAAAACCTGTAACTCCGCAGCCTGTGAGAGGTCTTCCAGGGACGGGGGAAACGCTCAGAGCACGCCGCAAAGGGCCGCCCCCCTCGGGGCCCTCTTGGGGGGCACCTGCAGGTCTGGGCACGCGGACGGGGCTGCTTCGGGGCACCGGCTGCAGCGTTGGGCAAAGAGGCAAGAGGCGCGGCGCAGCAAATTACCCTCGGCCTGGCAGGGGAAGGCGTAGGCGCGATCTGCGCGCGCCACGGGGCGTGCCGGGCGCGGGGCGCGCGTCCCTCCGCCAAGCTGTCGACCGCAATCTCGGCGCAGATGGCCCCTGCCTCTGGACAGGCCCACCAGGCCTGGCTGACGTGGCAGCGTGGGAGAGGGCGCGAATTGTAGACGTGCGGACCAGACCTAGCATCCGCAAGCGGTCAGAAGTCATGCTGCAGGTCGGCTTGCTCGAGCCTCGCGCAGCGGTGTCTCCCCCGACCAGAAGCTCTCACAGCTAACCTGATCCGAGAGAAAAGCGAGGTCAGCAGATTGGCGGATGCCCCAGGCACTTCAACTAGAACGAACAACCCAGCGTGCGGAACCGTCTGCTTCGGGCTGTTCGCCAACCCCGCGCAACCTGAGTCTCCAGCAAGCTGGGCTGCGGAAGCAAGCTGGACAACACCCCGGACAACGCGTCGCAACCTGGGATGCGCATGGTGGCGGCTTCCCGAGCCATCGGCAGCATGGAATCTCCCTGGCAAGGGCCGGTCCTCAACGCGGCACCATGCGAGCTCGCGGGGCTCAGGATGGGTAGGAAACTCCTGCCAAGAGAAGGGGACTCGACCAAGCAGCCAAAGTACTTGGGCCTGCTCACACACCTCCAAAGCCTGGCGTGCCTCATGATTTGCCTCGGCCACAAGGGGGCGGGGGAGCTCAACCCCCGCGGACATGGCCCTCTCGGGAAAAACAAATGGCACGGGGAACCCCAGCAACGGCGCGCGCTGGCCTCCAGGGTTACATTGCAATGCTGGCGCAAATCGTCAGTGCGGTAACCAGCCTGGAACACCCTGGATTCGACCCAAGAACCTCCACGAGCAGCGAGGCGGACCATGCTGGCTAAGGCTGGCTGGCCCGATGCTGCCCAGCGCTCCGCCAAAGCCGAAGCATGCTGAAACCAAACGCCGCCCTCCCCCCCCGCCTCCGTCGAGATGCTTCGTGGCCTGGAGCCGCGCGCGAGACTCCATGGTGACCTCCAGAGCGTCCAGGGGACGGGGGGATGGCGCAGTTCCCCAGTCGATCAACCCGCAGTCGGAGTCGCAAGGCTCACGAAATCTGTCCAACGATGGGCGGTCCCAACACAGAGAGGCGAGTGAAGCCTGGCAAGCCCCGAGGGGCCCGCAGACTTGGGCGAGGCCTCGAGAAACACGAGCCAAGGACTGTTTCCGACGCCCCCGAGTCCTCTTAGAAAGGCTCGGAGGCGAAAAAACATTGGCAAACCAAGCTCCGATGGGCTTCCGAATGCGCTGACTCCACGTGTCTTCCCCGGCGCCGAAAGAGATTCGGACGGGCCTGGCCGCGCAACTGTGGCAGGGTGCCTGGGACTCGACCGTGGGCCTCAGGGGCCCGGGCCGCCCTGGGCAAGCCATTCACGAAATCGAGCTCGGCTTCCTCGCGAGGCCAGAGATCTTGAGCGCCGCTCCTAGGGGAACGAAGCATGACATAAACATAAAAACTCGGGGGTCCGCGCGGATTTCTCGGATCGGCGCTGGACCCCCCTCCCCGGCGCGCGGAGCGCGCCAGGAGCGGCGCCGGAGGCGCCGCCAGGGCGGCCCAGCGCGGATCCGAGAAATCAGCGCGGACCTCCGAGTTTTTCATGTTTATGTCATTCATCGTTCCCCTAGCTCTGCTCCCTTTGAGACGACCGTGGCGCCGCGCGCGCAGGCCCAACAGAGCGGAGAGTCGCGCCGCGCCGCGGGGCGCCTGGCGCTCGAGGCCGCGACGAGCTCGGCAGCCTCTCCCCCCCCCGCCGGAGACGTCCGCGTTTTCTTCAACCTGGAGCGCGCGCGCGCTGGCCGAGGGGGCCCATGGGGCATGCTTCTCGGCCGAACGCGGACGGCGCCGACGCCTCAGACCTTCCCGAAGCGCCCTGGGAACAACAGGACATGCGAGACTGATGGAGCGCCCTGGAGCTACGATGCGGAAAGCTCAGTTGCCAGTCCACTCACGCAGATGCAATGCTGGACTCCGACTCGCAGTCTGGCTGAGAGGCTCGCGCAACAAGGCCCTCGCATGGGAAACTCCGCAAGGGTGCCACCAACCCGCAGCCCGCCAGGGCGCCGCCTCCTGGCAGGAGACCAGGGCGCACCATTTTCTGGAGAGTCAGGGAACGAGGGCCGAGGTGCACGTCAGGATCCAGGGTGGGGAGGCGGAGTGGGCAGCCTGGCCCATGCGGGGCCATGGCAAGATCGAGCGGATAAGCATGCGGCAAAACTTGCGCACATCCAGCACCCCCCCCCGCCACCGAGAAACCCCATGAACCGCCACCCCCACCTCCAGCTCGTCAATCCAGCCTGCGCGGTCGGCAAAGCTCCCGCCCGCCTCGCCCCAGGGGCCGCGACTGAGACGAGCCCCCTGAGGCGACGGGGCCGCGCATGGCAAAACCACCAGAAGCAACGCCATCGGACGCAAACCTCCGTCTTCTTTGTCAATGGGGCAAAACGCGTTAAACAGCCCATTGTACGGAACAGTCGACTGGCGTTCCATGGGCACGAGCAAGTCGGCCAAAGCTTCCAAACACTCCGGGGGGGTGGGCGGCGTCTTTGACCGTGCGAGGGGGCAAACCGTCCAAATCCCTGCCCCGACGATTGCGGACCGACCTCAAAGCCTCTCTCACCTAGGCAACGCCGATGGGCGGCATGGGTCATGACTCCAAAGCAGCAGGTCTCCACGAGGACAGGTGGTTCGTGAAACTCAGCCCTGCTGCGGCGGCCCCAGATCTCGCCCCGCGCTTCGCCGTGGACCTCCCAGGAGACCCGCTGGCGCGGTGAATGGGCGGCCCTGGAACATGGGCTCTGCTCGAGGCCCCATAGTGCCCCCCGAAGGAGGCGATGCGGAGAGCTCCATCCAGCCAAACCCCCCCACCGGGGCCTGGCAGCGCAGGCCGCTCGATTGGATGCCTCGATCCCCGTGGCAGTGGCCCCAGGCGTCACGTGCTGGAGGCACTCGACCGACGCGCGGCGGAGTGGGCGGAGCCACGCGATCCGCCCGGAGAGGACAGCGGCCCCCGGGAGCATCGGAAGCGCCCGCGGCCTGGGGAGGGACAAGGAATCCCAGACCGGCAGTGTGGCCCCCCAAACTGGGCACCTCGGCACCTCTGGGCAGCGTGGGCCCCTCTGGGCAACGCGCGCTTCTCGGGCCACCTTCCGGGCACGCCAGACCCTGCATGCAGGGGGGGGGGGGGAAACGCAACGGGCCCGGAGGCGAGAGACTGCCGGAAACGCTATATGGCGGTCCACGAGAGAAGCCTGCCGCAGGCCTTGGGCACCAGCCGGGGGGACCATGCGGACCCTGGGAGGTCGGCGCCTGCCGACATTCTGTGGCCAGCCGTTCTGCTGGCCAGCCCTCCCTGGCGCAAGCGGCCAGCTCCTTCGCGCCCGCCCAAACGGAAAAAGAGTAGCCCAGAGCCCGGGCCGCGAGCGGAGCGTCGCGCTGCCACGCGTGACCGTCGAAACGACTGGTCGTTTCGACGGTCCCGCGAACAGCCTGGGCAAAACATGAGGAAGCTGGAGCAAACCCTGCTGGTGGAGCCTCTGGCACCTTACGGTGTGGTGCCAGTCTCCTATCATGACGAGTGGCCCTGCAATCTGGCTGACCATGGCACCGATCTGGGACGACAGCTCCAGATTCCTGCACTCCATGCCAGCACCGCTGACCAAATGCACTGCGGCGAGGGTCAGCACGACGTTACGGAGACGAAGTGACGCCAAACACCGTCTGGAACAAGAGCTCTTGGACCAGCCTCCCGAAGCCTCGACCGAAATACTGGATAGGCCCAAAGGAACCTTGCCACAACTGCAACACCTGCTGGGCATGCGCCCGAATCGGCACCGTCAGCTGCACCGACAACCACCTTTCATTCGAGGCGGCCCATGGACTTCACTATCCTGTCGTAGCTGGTCCCGAGGACGCGGGTCTCAGCGAAAAGAAGACAATGCCGGAACCCGTCTCCACTAGCCGACGTTCGGCCTGCGGACCCTGGTGACTTATGTTTCCCTAGCGTATCTTCAGGAACCCGGCCAGAGCATGTCCATTCTTGCTTTTTCTTTGATGGTGACGGGTTCGGGCTGGGAGCAGGCAGTCGCCTCGCCAGGGGCTCGGGCGCCAGCGGTCGCCTCCTACTGGGCGACCGCCCGTGCGACGCGCGCCTCTGCGGCTTCCCCCGGCCGCGCAGAGCTCTGCGCGCCTTGCCACCGGCGGCGGCCCCGGGCCCTGGGGCTGGCGGGCGCGGCGGACGCTGCAGGTGCAGCGGCCGAGCCCGGTGCCTCCGCCCGCCCCCCCCCGCGGAAGGTCCGTCACGCGAGGCCGCGCCCCTGGGCTGCTGCTCCTGCCCCCTCGCCCGTCTCGCGTTTCTGCCTGAGGTGCTCGGAACGTTTGGCCCTCTCCTCACGCAGTGCCCTCGCCTGATCGCGTGCAGCTTCGAACCCCTACCCGAAGAATTGACGAGCCTTCCCGGCACGCTCGTCGAAGGTCTTGACCTGCCGGCGTTCCTCCTCCGAGCAGAAATCCGATGAGAGGTCGAGGTCATCGCCCAAGTCGAGCGAGAGAGACGAGAGAAGTCGGCCAGTTACGCATCACGGGGTTGTTTTGAGGCAACAGCCTCTGCGCCATGCGCCTTGCTGCTGCCTCCATCTTCTTCTGGGCTGCCTGTTCGGCGAGCAAGGCTTGGTCGACCTTCTTGTTGGCCTCTGCGAGCTGATTCTCAATGCAAGCCGAATGACCTAGCCCCTGAGCCTGACGGTTTGATGCTGCACGCTTCTGGCCCCAAGCCGCCGCGACCTCCGTTGCGGGCTTGACCTGCACTTGGGGAGGCTTCTTGACCAAAAACTGACCGAGGGTGCGGACTTCTGGATGGCCGTACGTTGGGCATCTCCGAGAGCTGGCTCGCCCAATTCTCACACGTTTGGCCGAGACGAGGGGAGGGTGGTCGACGTCGGGCATGAGCGTGGCACCGCAACCGATGCAGTGGCTGCGACGAGAAAGAAGGCGATCGCACGTCCAATGGCCGCAAGCACACATGGTATGTGATTCCTTGCGCCTCTCCCTGGCGCGCACTGGTGGCCCTGGACCCACGGCTGGAGCTTGACCCACGTCGCACACACCATGACTGGGAATGGGACTGGGAGCGGGACGGCGCTTGTACAGTCGGGCTGCTGACGGGATCGTGATCCCCTGAAAGCAATGAGAGCTGCCGCGGAACAGCAGCATCTACTTGACTTACCTGAGCGCCTTGCATCCTGAGTCCAATTGGCTACGGAGCAGGAGCAGGAGGACTAGGAGGATGATCAGGAGGAGGAGGAGGAGGAGGAGGAGGAGGAGGAGGAGGAGGAGGAGGATCAGGAGCAGGAGGAGCATCAGGATGATAATGAGGAGGAGGAGGAGGAGGAGGAGGAGGAGGAGGAGGAGGAGGAGGATTAAGACCCTGCTGCTTCTGCTGCTGACGCGCTGCGCGACGCGAACAGCATAATATATGTTTGGGGCTCTGCGACCATCTATAAACGGCTGAGGATGGAAAGCCGGTCCACAGGAAACGAGTTGAGACCTCCAGGGATCGATGTTGCGAAAAGACATGGGAAGGATGACAAGGAGAAGTAGGAGGAGGAGTAAGAGGAGGAGGACGATGCCCGCGGATCTCCACCTCCATGTGGCTCTGGACCAGCACCTCGCGCGAGGCGGGGACGTATGCACAGCCACCGCCCCGGGGATCGATGTTCGAGGGCCTCGTCAAGTGGTGGCCATGCCAGGCCCTGGAGAGGGCCAGGCATGTGCACATCTTCTGCCTGCCAGGGCTCCCGAAGATCGATCCCCCGGACGGGGGCCATGGGAGAAAGCCCCGCCTCGGAACCTGGTCCCCAGGCGCACCGCTCAGCTGGCCGCCCACCTGGCGGTAGCGCGCCAGGCTCGACCTCGGCCACCCCCCCCCATCTCCTTATAGGCCCCGGGGCCGTCCCGAGAGGGGGGGGGCGACCCCGAGATCCTTGCGCTTCAGTTGCCTTTCGCCGGGCGCTGTCGCTCGATTCACGCCCGCTGGGGCCCTGAGAGGTCGATGCGGCTGGAGGAGTGGCTCGGGCAGATGGGGCCCAGGGCTCCGGTCGCTGTTCCTCACGATGTTGCAGGCTTTCGTTTTGCGACGTCCGACCCCGTGGCAGAATGAGGTTGAAAGCAAGAACGAGCAGGAGAGCACTCCATCGAACGGAAGGGCAATCGGTCGTCGCGCATCCGCTCGACTGGTGGGCCGGCGATCCGTTCTGGGGGCTCGGCTCCAGCATCTCGCGCTTCTCTGCGAGGAGCTGCCGCGTGACGCTGTGCTGCTCCCACACCTCGAGTAGGGGATCGACTACAGAATTGATTTACCCCAGCGTTGATTTGTTCGTCGAACCCGCAAAAATGCGTAGGATGATGTGCATACGCATCTACTAACATTCGGCGTACTTGTTTCGTACATTTTTTTTTGGGGGGGGGGTGAATCAATTCTGCAGTCGATTCCCCACTCGAACACCTGCAGGCCCCCGGCCTCCTCTGGGGGTCCGCTGCGCCCACGGTTCACAGTGGGCAGGTCCTGGATGGGGAGTCGGCGAGGCGCGCTCCCGACATGCTCTCCTCTTCCCGCCCCCCCTGGGCGCGCCAGAAGCACGGCTGGCCTCGGCGGCTCCATTAGGTTCAGAGGCAACTACTGGGAAATCTTCGTCGCAAGGATTAGGGAGAACTGAACCTCCTTGTGGGGCTTCTACGCCGGATGCGGCTGCGGATAAGCGGCATTAAGCTGGAATTAGCCAGATTTAATGGGATTAAGCTGGACTTCGGACCACGGCAAAGTCAGAATTTGACCTTCCCAGGAGCTGCATCCGAGATCAGGGCAGTCCTGACCACAAGGGCACAGGGCGCACTCGGCTTTGGCTGCTACCCGCAAGCAGTCAGCTTGCGCACAGGAGGGGCCAGATCCACTCGTTTCCTCTCGTATATAGGCGTCCTAGATGGGGTCCGAGTAGATGGGGTCGGATGATCGCGCCGCATCGCCGATGCATCACCGATGCATCGGCGATGCATTGGCGATGCATCGGTGATGCACCTGCGGCGTCGGCGCTGCAACGGCGACGTCGACGTGGAGAACATCGGGCTCCGTGTCGAGAAGCATCGCCGATGCATCGGTGATGCGGCACGATCCTCCGACCCCATCTATAGTCCGACCCCATCTTGGAGGCCTAGATCGTATCCCTACGTCTCGGGTTCCCCACCGGGGGCCTCCTGGCAAGCGTGGTTGGGACCCTGCTCCGTCTTTTTGTAACTCTGCGGACACGAAACAAAACCGATGCCTCTTCTCCCCTGACGTCTCCAGGGGCGCCCTCTGATCAGCATCTCGAGACGAATCCGGATGTGGCGACAAGAGACAGCGGCAGCAGCACCGGCACGTCTCCCTCTTCTGACAGCCCCCCGAGGTCCGGAGAGCCAGCCACGCCCAGCGAGACGGTCTCGCAGAGGTCCGGGGGCAGCCCCACGGGCACCTGCGCGCTCCCCGCGCCGTGGAAGGACCGCACCTCGGGCATGCCGAGGCCCACGGCCCCCTGCGGTGGAGCTCGCTCGTGTGCCCCGGCGCCTGCGCCGCCGGGCGCCAGCGGGAAGGACCTCCCCGGAGGGCCCGTCTCCAAGATCGCCATGGCCCCCGCGCCGCCGTCCCAGGGCGGAGCTGCGCCGGCGGGTCCCAGGAGCCGTGCCGCCTGTCGGGTCGGGCGAGGCCCCGACGCCCAGAGCGCAGCGGCAGGAAGCACGACGGAGGTTCGGCGTTTGCCCTCGTGGGGCCCCTAGGGCTCAACAACGACTCGCGATGAATAGTCGGCCCGGGGCGACGGGTCGGCACGTCTGAGAACTGCAGAGGGCACCGCATGGAACAAAAAAAACATGGCCCTGACCTCACACAATGCGCCCACGGGGGCAGGCACTGTGGCGCGGCGGCGCCATGCGCCGAGCTTCTCGCGCCCGATGAAACCGTAGCTAATGGGCACGAGACGTGTGAGGAGCGTGCCAAAGCGGGCACGGTGGTGTCATGCGGTCGCACTCACTGAGGCCATACCTGTGGCCCCCTGAGTGGCGCAAGCCATGTCAGGTGTGCCGAAATGGGCGCGGGGTTGCCATGCGGTCGCGGCCGCAGGGACGGACCACCGCTGGATATCCTTCACGGGCGCGAACAGTGTGACAAGTGTGCCGGAATGTGCCGTGCGGCCGCGCCCACTGAGGCGCGGCGCCGACATGTGGTCGCGCCCGATGAGACGGTGGGTGGACTTCACTAGGGAGCACGGAACTTGTGAAGGGCGTGCGCTGAAGGCATGGCACCGCCATGCGGTCGCGCCCAGTAGGCGCTTCACTGGAACTCCCTCAGGGGCACACAACGAGTGGAAACTATGGCGGTGTGGAAAAAGCGCCCCCACGCGGTCGTGCCCATTGGGGCCACGGCTCTCGTGAGAAGTATGCTGGCATGGGCGGCGCCGCCACGCGGGCCCTGCCACTGGGGAAGCAATGGGAGCTCCCCGTGGAGCCATCATGTCCGCGAGGGGCGTACCGAATTCGGGCGGATGCGCCCTGCGGTCGCGCCGGGGTGCGTGCACCACGCGGTGGCGCGCCCCAGCTCTGCGCAAGTGGAGTTCTCTGTATGGGGCCACAACGCAGGAGGGGTGTGCCTGCCGAGCTGGGGGCGCGTGTGCCGCCCGGTCGGGCCCACGGACGCCACAAATGTGACGTTTTGCGTGGCCCGCACGCCATGCGGCCGGGCCGACTGAAGCCGCAGGTGGAGCTCCCCTTGGAGCCACGAGCAACGAAACGCGCGAGGGGTGTGCCACATCGGGGGCGCGCGCGCCGTGCGGCTGGGGCCACTGAGGTTGTACGTGGAGCTCCCCGTCTGGCAAGAGAAGGGTTTTGCCTTCGAGGTGTTGGCCCTCCACTGGGAGTTCGAGAGTAGCCACTGGCTCGAGCCAGCGCTTTGCTCGAGCACGCCTGTGATCCCTGGCGAACCCCGGTGGCGCCTGCGTCGCCAGAGCAAAAGTTGGTACGCACGTGACAGCGAAAATGGCAATAGCACGCGTCCTTGTCAGCGCGCAGCAGTGAAGAATCATGCCAGGTCCCTCCAGGACACTGCCACGAACTCTGATGTGCGCGAGGCCTGATGACGATGATGATGAAGATGGATCAAATGATGACGTTGATGATGGCGATGATGCAAATGCTGCTGATGGTATTGCTGATGATTTGATGGTTGATGGTGGTGATAAGTATGATGCTATGATGCTGGTGATGAGAATTCTGATTATACGATTCTTCAGTGCAATGAATAATGGTGATGCGGATAGAAAGTATGATTGTAGTGGTGGTGATGATGGTGATGATGAGTATGATGCTGATGCTGCTGGTGTTGCTGATGATGCTGATGACCAGATCAGAACCCATCAGAGGCGGCGTCGTCCGTCCCACGTTTTCGAATGCCTTCAGGATCGGGCTACACCCGAGCTTCAGTTTGCGATACGCGACCGTGCATCTCGCGACTGGCAACTGCTCACAGTCGCTTCCGCAATGCACCCGAAACAAAACAAAGAGCCGCGTCCTGGTCGGCCGTGTTCCATCCCGCGGAAAACCTCGAGCCACGCTGGGCCGTTTCAGAAACTACGGTCCTCGAAACAGCTCGGACCTCAGTCACCGAAGCTGGCCTCTGCTGAGGCCTTGGAAATCTCGAATTCCTAAACTGGCCCCCCAAGAGCTCCGTGACAAATTCGGGGAAGAGGGAGCTGGAGAGGAGGGAAGGAGGTCGGAGGGCGGGGGAGGGGTGGGAGTATCCTGGGTACTCTGGGCGGCTTGGCACAGCCTACTCACGATGGCAGCATGGCGCTGCCGTCTCACTTCTGGCAACTCCTCCTCCTCCTCCTCCTCCTCCTCCTCCTCCTCCTGCTGGGTCCTCAATCGAACATCGTCCCCTCGAGATTCTGGAGCCCCGTGTGGAGGAGGCGTTCCAGGTGGCCCATCGGGGCCATGCCCTGCTTGTACTCGGCCCCCGCCTGGATCAGAGAGTCCAGCACGGGCGCCACGTCCAGCCTGCCTCCGAACGCCACGATCAGCTTCACCTTGCCCTCCTCGCAGCAGCCGGTGAGCTTCGCCAGCGGAACTACCTCGCCCATCTCGGCTACTGTCAGCCTTGCCTGTTCGGTCGCCAATGTCTCTAGGTTATGCTGGTTCACGCGCTCCACCGCGTTTCCGTCGGCCAGCAGCCCCTTGAATAATCCGGCGTAGCACGCCACCGGTATCGCTCCCATCTTGCGGATTGTTTCGTCGCTCTGCTGCTTGCTGTGGTTGGCTCTGCTGTCTTCTGCTGCTCGAGTATATGCTCGCACTCTCCCGCGCGCCTTGACTACTGGCTGCAGTGCTGATGGCATGATGAACGCCTTCGGCTCTATCGAATCGACGTGGCCCTGTCGATGGACCAGTTTCAGCAGGAGCCGCATCACCGCTGAGAAAAACTTCAGCATCGTGTCCACGTCTATCTCGCAGTCGTCGAGCTCGCCCAGGTCCACGACCTTGGTGACCTTCTTCTTCTGCTTCTGCGATCCTTTGCCGCTTGTGCCGTCAGCTTTGCCCGCTGAGCCCTCGCGACCACCTCTGGCCGTCTTCCGCGGGCGGGTCTCGGCGTCGTCCGCGCAGAATGTCTGGCAGGCCCTGCCCCCACGACGCGTGGCCGAGGAAGCGGTAAGTGCAGGTTGCAGATAAGCCTCTGAAGCGATGGGGGGCCTCCAAACTTCCCCCCGCAATCTGTCTCGGGGCATTCAAACAGCGGCGGAGGGATAACTTGATGATTGTAGACCGAAAAATCCGCGATGCATCGTCCGCGCCGATAAGCCGCAGCGACGCGATTAAAGGCGGTACGGCGACAGGCAAACGTCGACATGCAAAAGGGGCATTGGTTAGTCACAGTCAATCGCGTAAAGAAACTCAGCCTGCCGTGCTCTCCTCCTCCCGCGTGGGTCTGATGCGCTCTGAGTGCCCCCATCGTTCGGGATCCGCGGTTGCACTCCAACCCCTCCCCATCGATCAGAGAACGCAGGAAACCGCCCTCGAAACACTCCTGGTCCTCGTGCTGCCGCGTCGGCGAGACTGCGGGACTCTCGAGCCATATCTGTCGAAGCTTCGCAACGCCGAACATATGAAATCTCCCCGTCAGCTCGGGAACCAGGAAGACCCTCGCGCGGTCGTCTCCTGCGTCCTCCAGGAAATCCAAGCCCCCGCGGAGCTTCCCGTTCTTGACCTGCAGGGCCCAGGGGTTCGCGCGGCCCTTGGGGGCCACGATCGGGGCGCCCACTGGCGCCTGGGAGAAAGTCTGGACCTCGGCACTCTCGAACGCCACCATCCCGAAAATCGCCGCCAGCTCCTGGACGTGCCGTTGGGGTCGGCGAGCGAGAGCTTGAAAGTGGCGAAGCCGTCTGATGTGCAACTCGCTTCCAGACGGCTTCCGCGCACGCCGTCGGAACCTTCCACCGATCTTCCTCGCCCTCCTCCGCGGGCAGTTGTCGGTGCATGGCGACTCCATTGCATTGCGCATCAGCATGCCTAGCGGAGACCGCGTCGAGCCGCTCGGTCTTCTCTACCGCCAGGACCCTCGCCGCGGGACCCGCCAGCGCCGCCCCCAGAATACAAACCCGAAACGCAAGTCGCCCCCGAGAGAAGCGCCGGCACGTCTTCCAGAACTTCCCCATGTTCCGCCAGCCCACTCGCATCACCGCACACCGTGCACGGATCTCCTCGTCGCCCCCCCACGAGGTCTGCGCGTGGGCCCCCAGGAAGACCGAAGTCCTGGCCCCCCCCTGAGATGGGGACTTCGTGGTAATGGAAAGCTCTGGAGGACCTCTGAGACCCGCGACCCGCGAAACAGGGACTGACAGCTTTTTTCTTTCGGCCCTGGGCAAGGCCAACTCGTCCCAGAGCAACGCCGAGGTGCCGATCGGAAACTTCAACCCGCTGGGATGCACTGCGTGCATCTGGGGCGATGTGAGCACACGTAAGATCGTCGGCATACTTCCTCACTCCCAGATCGCAGGTCTCTCTCGTGAGTGCACACCCTGCTCTCATCTCGTGCACCTTCTCCGTCGGAAAGAAGTCGCGTCGCCACTCGCCCGTGGGGTCTCGAACGCCAGTCGGAAGTTCGCTGCTGCATCTGCGTCGCCCATGTAACATCCTGTGCCGTTCCGAGACGTTCTTCTGCAGTCGCACGCCTGGACCACGCATGTCATGTTTTAGTGTCTTGTAGCCGTGATGTCTACGTCCTCGTGTAGATACATCTGGTGGGCTGTGCGGACCAGGTGTTGGTGGCTGACGCTGGCGAACGCGTTTGTCATGTCATGCTTGGTCGTGATGTGGCTCAAACCTGCCGCGCGTAGTCTCCACTGCGATGACCCCTGTACATGGCCGTGATCCTCCGCGGGCGGTTGCAGTTCAGCTCGCGGTGGTCGTGCGCCCGCCCGCGCCTTTCCAAAACTGCATAGTCGATATAGAAGTCCGGTCCCGAGTGTCCTGGGTTTCTGGCTCATCTTATTCACATGGTCCGTCTGCGATAGATTCCACCATGCGGTGGGCCGCTGGCGTTGTCGTATCCCTGCAAGGTGGGCCAACAGAAACTCTTGTAGTAGTGGCCCCGCCACCTGCGGTCGGTCTTCACCTGTTCGTCGCGGGGCTCGGCATGAGCACTGTAGACTCCACGACCCCGTCGGCATAGACCATGGTGGCGCAGCCCGTCGTCGTCGTCCTCGGCACAGCTGGTGCGCGACGCCGCCCAGGTCGAGGTTGGCTGGCCAGCTCCCAGCGCTCCATGTCGGGGCGGAAGGGGTAGTCGTGAGCCGACGCGTCGTTGATGAATCCCTCGGTGGTGGTCATAGTCGCTTCCATCCCCCCGTCCCTTTCTGGCTGGCAGGGCCAGGTCCTCCGTCCACCTCTGTTGGTCTGGGCGGGCGTCGGGCAGTGCGCAGCGGTTCCTCCTGCGTGGTCCCAGCCCGCCCCACGCCATCTGAAAACTGATGCGCCACGCTGCGTCCTCTCGGTTGGTGCGGATAGCCTCCTCCAATTCTTGGTTGAGTTCTCGTTGTTGTGCCAGCTTGATATCCGTCCTGGCCTGCTTGCGCCGTCTCGAGCACAGCCGTTGTCGTCGTATGCTGTCCAACTCACCATCCAATGCGTCCCGTGCTCTAGTGCGCTCGCGTAGTCCCTCCTCCCATCCCCGTGCCAGGCGTACATGCCACGCTGGCTTGTCCCGTCACGTAATGCCATACTGTTGTTGTGCTCGATGCTGGATCGTCGTCGCAATGGCTTCCCATGCTGACTCCAGCGTGTGCTGCCGCATCCACGCGTCCACCTCCAGGTATCCATCGCCCCGTAGTCGTTGTGCCAAGGCTGTCTCCACATCATCGCGTAACCGTTGTGCCTCTTCTTCGTCCCGCATCGCTCGGCCGAGTAGTCGTCCCATATTTGGGTGGTGTGTTGCGGTGCGCTATATGTCAGCTTGTAGCCATTCTCCGCCACGATCATCATGTGATCTAGAACAGTCACGCTTGGTATAGCTCGAACTCGTCGTGTGAAGTTGTAGGCGGCCGCGCACTTGTGTACTCTCCCCATCCGTGGGGCTGGTATCACCAGGTGGTCTATGTAGCTGCGACTCCTGTGTCCATAATACGTGGGTCCACATGGGTACTAACTTGTAGATGAGGCCAGTGTATTGTTTTCCATCCGTTCCTCATAAAGTGTACCCGCCTGGTGTTCTTGAATGCGTCCGTGTGGCCCTAAACTGGGGCAGTCCACGTCCTGCACCAGCCCGTCAGTATACCTGATGCCCAAGCCGTCGTTGAGGTCGGTCGCCGCGATTGTGGTCGATCTTTCGGGGTCCCTCCTGAGATGCTCTGGACTAGTTCCGTCCTCTTGCGTACCGTCGCCCTCGTACCGCGGGATCCCCTTCGCATCCGTACATCGCGGTGGAAAATAACTGGCAATAAACATGAGATCGTGCTGGCTGGAACGTACCCTAACTGCTCCTAGTCGTCCTTGCAAGGCAAGGGGGGCCGACCAAAACTGTACCAACTGGTTCGTGCGAAACCGCCTACGGTTCAGCCAGATCTCCACGCCACACGATTTGTTGACCATCGTTCCACGTGCTAGGTTCCAACCAAACTGTATCATGATAATTGTTTGTGCAATGGTACGTCATACGGCGTCGGAACATATCGTTGCCTCTTCGCCGTCGTACCAGCCAGCAACACCACATCCGCGAATCGTAACTGCTGCGCCACCTCGAGGCGCGTATCGTAGTCGCTGGGGGAGAGAGGGTTCCATTGCGCAATCTTCATGTGGGCGGTTGCACATGGCAGCGCCGATGAGAGGTGAAACAGGAGGGCCGCTGAACTGGCCCTCGTGCACTGGGATTTCGGGCCAGGGTTTGATGCTGATGGTAATGATGATGATGCTGAGAGGGTCAATGGTGGCACCTCGTCGGCCCTGCGAACGCTTCGCGGCGACGCGATGTGGGGCTCAGGACTCCGCGGGAACTTTGCGCAGTGTCGCTGGATGTTGAAAGCGCTGCTTTTTCACGTCGGGATTTCCCGGTACCCCGCTGTACCACTTTCCCATATGCTCAAACAGGTGCGATCGTGGGATCCCGCGGTCCCAGGCCCGAGCGTACCTGTCCTTTTTGCTGAGATTCTCAGAGGGTGCGGAGGGTGGGCTGACTGCGCCAAGGGATCTCCCAAAAAGGAATTCTCTGCGGGCGCGGCCGAAATGCCCTACTCGCACCCCGCAGTCCACGTCGAAATTAAAAACTGAATCTGAAGGCTGGCCAGCCACTTTCACGTTCCAGTTTTCCATTTACAGGCCGGCGCTGGGTCATACAGCTTTAAAGTTTGGGTCTGTTCGATAGCAGCCATCGCCGCCGCAAGGCCACAAACGCAGCATGTCCATGACAATCTGAGCAGAAACATCGAATGTTGAACTCTCCCTAGTCTGATGGGGCCACGAAGCGGGTGAGTGGTGGGCCGAAGCGGACGCTTGGAAAGCAAAGGAAGGAGGAGGGGGGAACAGGTAGAGACGCGCGCGTGCTGCTGATTCCAAACGAGGGCCCAACTCACACAGGATGAGCAGGAACGAAACATCGGATGTCGGATGTCTGACTTAGTAGCGGGGGGCCGTTCCAGCACCCATGTACACATGAACGCTCCCAGTGTTCCGAAAAATCATTTGCACGCGGCGAATGTCGCACCTCCCCCCGTCAACCCTTGAGACATCGTAGAAACCCACGCCTGGAACCCCCGACCCTATCTCTCTGCACAATTTTTCGAGCCGGATCGATCTGTGAGGGTCCCGGGGCCCGAAACTGCCAGAAAACGCCCGCCTCGAAGAAAATTAAGACGCCAGGATCTCAGGGCATCCCAACCCCTTTCGTCCGATGCGAGCCTGGTAGTCGGCGATGGCTGGGACAGCCTGCCCGAGGTTGGGGCCGCAGATCGAGCACGGATTCGGAAATGGCAGCGCAGCTGTCTCTGGCGTCGCGGCGCCCACCTCCCCGGCCTCGCCGATCGCCGCGACCCTGCAGAAGTACCTGCTGATGCTGTGATCCAGATCCTCTCGGGCGGGTGGTGCTCGGGGGTGACCCACATGGGAGGCGTAGAGAAGGGCCCTAAAAGGCTACTTTAGGGCCCCTTTGGAGCCAGCCGGGGATCCAAAGGGGCCTGAAAGGGCTCCTTTAAGGCTCTTCATTCGCCCCCCATGTAGGTCACCCCCCACTACCACACGCCCGATCCTCCGTGTGGATCTCCGCCCGCTGCGGACCGGCCCTATCGTGCCTCACGTGGCCCACCTCGAACCACGCGTCCTGCTCCGGCACTCTCGCGCCTATGCCGGGCGCAACCCACAGCCGGTAAGCGACAACCTCGGTGCCCCCGTCGTCCTCTGGCCCGTCCCACTCGATCGTGAGGACGGGCCCCTTGCACCCAGCCAGCCGCGGCCGCCCGCAAAGGCCAGGGGCGCTCGGCCCTGTCGCCGCCTCCACCTCCGCTACGGGGCTCACGCCGGCTTCGTTGGATGCGTGCACGCGGAAGCGATACCTCGTGTTCGGCCGCAAGCCGCTAGCAGTGACGTGCGGGTCTGGGTCTGCGTCCACTTCGGCCACGCGCTGCCAGCTCGGCGTTCGGGCCGCAGGTTCGTTACCTCGCAGCAGAGGCAATGCCTCGACATGATACCTGTGAACGGGGGCAACGCGATCGTGAGGCGGAGGCCGCCAAGACAGGAGAACCTCCTCCGACGTCGCACCCTCGACCTGCAAGCCCGCCACCGCTGGCGGAACGCGCGCGAAGGCGAACTCGCAAGTCAGGTAAGCGACGTCGTTGCCCAGAGCATCCACCGCTGGCCAAGTGCACGGCCGCCTCTGCCACTTCGGCTCTGTGAGGGGCACGAAGGCCCTGGCAAACAGTTCCCTGCGTGGATCACGGCTGAACATGCCCCCGTCGCGCTCCGCCCAGACGTCCACTCGGAAGTAAGGCGGCCCCCCAGCAGCGGGCCCAGGCCCCTCCTCGGCGTCCCCATGAAAACCTACTGCGTGCAATCTGTTGCCCCGTCCAACGAAGCGTGGCGGTTGACTTGTGGAATCTGCGACCCCCGGGGTAATCAAGCCGCGTTCGGCAAAATTCAGGGGGACTCTTTCAATAATTACTCGAACACAGGGACTGGGACTCGACACCACGTTAGATGTGTTAAAACCACGTTCTGTAGACTCACGAGCCACTGTCACTGCACTACGTCTTGTCAGGTAATGATAATTAAGTGTCGCTACGGGACGCTTTGGCAAACACGTTCGCCGCACCCTCCAATCAGGTGCACACAGGCGCCCGAAGCATCCCAACGAGGTCACATATGACACGTACTTGGTTCCTAAGCTTCAACGAACAAGGTCTGCATGACTTACCTTTGTCAGATGTGCGGCTACGCGAAAAAATTAAAGATGCCCCCCCCATGTGAAAGGACTCATCCGAGCATAACACGATCACAATTCATGGACATGTGACTGAAGCAAATATTGCATGTTTCTGACCACTGCCGTTGGCCGAGAGTCATCCGTTGACAGAAAGTCCTCGGACAAGCGCACGACGACGCGGGACTTGAAGCGGCACTCGAGCTGTGGTTCTTTCTGCAGCTGAGCATCGGCTTGTTCGCCGCCAGCGGCACCCTCTGAGCTGCCCTCGGCGCCCGCCGCGGCGCGCATCGAGTCGATTGCCTGCCCCACGCGCTGCCTGAGGATCTGCTCCTCTGGGGCGACAGCCTGCGGCGGCCTCGCGGGCACCGCGGCGGTGGAGTAGCGGCCCGGCCCGGGCGGCGGATCGCTGCGGGCATCCTCGCCCACGTGGACGCTGAGGATGTAGTTCGTGGGCTTCTCGAACCTCGGGGAAGAAACACCTGTCACATACCGATAACACTTGCGTGATGTCACGCAAGAGCTTCGAGGAGGACCCAGCCGTGGCGACGAGGGCCCTTCGCAGGACGACTGGCGGCATTGGTGCCTCCTCCTCCCCTGGGAGCCAGCTCCCCGACGCTGGCATCCGCGACATGTACTGCAGCTGCACCACCAGCAGCTCGGGCTCGGGGGGCGCCGCTGGCCTGCGGTGGGCCACCTGGCTCGGGCGGTGCCCGACGCCCTCGCTGGGGCGAGCTGCCGGGCTGGGCGCCCTCTGCACGGGCGTCTCCAGCAGGGCGCCCCCGGGCGAGGCGGCACGCGGCGTGGGCACCGCGCGGGCGGGCGCCTCGCCGGCGGGCGCTGCAGGGGCCGCGCTGGTGAGCGCCGCGGCTGCGGGCGCCACGGCCACGGGCGCCACGGGGGCGCGCGACAGTTCCGCGGGGGCCCGCCTGGCGGGCGCCGCTGCCACGGGCTCCGCGCTGGCGGGCGCCATGCTGGCGGCCGTGACGGCGCGGGGCGCCCTGGGCGCAGCCGTGGCGGGCACGACGGCGGTGGGCGCCACGCCGTGGGGCGCCAGGCCGTGGGGCGCCAGGCCGGCGGGGGGCGCGGCGGCTGGCGCCACGACGGGGGCCGCCACGGGGAGCGGGGCCGGGGCACCCCTCGGCACGGAGAGCCTCGGGGGGGGCGCGTGCACCCTCGGCGGTGGCCTGCCGGGCAGTACCAGCGGCTGCTGCCCCCCGGGCGCGTCAGCGAACCTTGCAGGATGAAGCAACCTCGTGGAGGGACGGGACGGGGGCCAGGGGGGGAGGCTGTCAGAGGAGAACCACGGCGTCCAACCATCGTCATATTGCCTCGCCTGGCGGCCGGTCTGGCACGGCGTGGGTTGGCTGCGGAGGGCGACCCAAAGCGCAGGGGAGGCGTTTCCCCTCGGAGGGAGGAGTGGGGGGAGGGGTGGGGGCGGTGGGGTGGGGCGGGGAGTTGACCTTCACATTCATCTTCAGCTTCCTCGTTGGCTTGGTTTCCTTCGGAATTGGCCACAGTCATCGCCAATCCTTCTCATAGGGCGGAAAGAATGGGAGGAGATAGAGCCCGGAAGAGGAGACGGGACGAGGGCGAAGCGGAGGGGGAGCGCCTGGGGATGGGAGAGAGGGGCGAAAGGGCGGCGGGGGAGGGCAAGGGGAAAGGGGGAACAGAGGGGGAACGGCTCTGACATCCTGGCGACTCAATTGTTCCGAACTCTGGACGTTTTCGCTCAATTTCGGGCCCCCAGACCCTCACATATCGATCGGGCTCTAAGAATGGCGCAGGAAGATGGGGTCGGGGGCGTCAGTCGTGATGTTCCCAAACGTCTCCCGGCTTTCGAGGCGTCGGATCTCAGGGAAGGGGGCGCGGGGGCTGGGCGAGGGAGAGCGAGCGAGCACGAGGAGCTCGGAGCCCGAGAGGGGGGCAGCACGCAACGAGCCACGCAACGCCTGGAACGGAGCTCTAGGTTTAGGTCGGACATGTCCTCCTGCAGGCGGATGTTGGACGAAAAATAAGAAGTAGCCCCCTAAAAAACAAAGATACTTAAACATAGTGAAAACACCGTCTTAAAACTTTTTGGGGGCTATGTTTGAATATTCCTCCTGTAGAGGGACATGCCCGACTTACTTCTAGGTCACCCATCTTCGCCTTCCGCGGCGCGCGAGGCGCTGGAGGACGAGCAGCTCTCTGGCCTGGAGCGCGAAGCGTCGCCGTCTTCGCGCCCCGGTGGGTGGCAGTGCGGAGGGCTTCCAGGCCGACCGATCGGACTCCTCCCCTCCGTCGATCGCTGGGCCTGGCTTCCCAGCCTGGACCTCAGCAGGCGGCCGCCGTGCGGCAGCGGGCTGGCCGCGGGGACCAGCATGGGCTGCGGCGGCGGGTGCACCAGCCTGCGGGGGAAGCCAAAAGATGCCGATACCGCTACTCCCCGGACCTCTCCCAGGGTGCGCTCTGACAAGAATTTCGAGGCGAATCCAACGGTGGTGACGAGGGCCTCCTAGGAGGTCCAAAAAGGCGAAAGGGAGGCAAGGATAGCGGTATCGGTACGGCAAGTTCGTGTCGTGACGACTTCTGCTATGGTTTCTGGCCCCGCGTGGATCGCTCAACCTTGAACGATAGGCGACCTTTCGATCGCCAGCTCCATATTGTCCGATTCTGGGCCACTGGCGGCGTTCAACCTTGAACTCGCGTAGCGGGGTCGGCGCCGCGGCGTCGACACGAACCGACCGTCCCTTTTCCTCCCCTGACCCGGGGGAACCAAAAGGTACTGATACCGCTGCTCTCCGGACCTCTTCTGTATGCGTTCTGACCAGAATTTCGAGGCGAATCTAGCGGTGGCCACGAGAACCTCGCAGGAGGGCGGAAAAGGGGAAAACGGGCAAAGGGCAGTGATATGGGTACCTTTCTCCTCTTCAGACTCTTCTCCTCCTCTGACCTGCGCTGTGGATGCTCCACGAGCCGCACCTGCGCGAGCGCCATGGCGGGTTCGCGGGCGCCGTGCGCCGTGCCAGCCGCCCGGGGTGGCGGCGCCCGGAGGGCTCGAGGGCCACGGGTGCCGCCGGCACGAGCGGGGAGAGCGAGGCGGTGTCGCTCGCCGGGAGGCAGCTTTGCTAGAGAGTCTGGCAGCCCCGAGGTCCTGGCGTTTCGATGTCTTCGAGCCGGGCGTTCTCGCCTCCTTTCGGGCTCCGGGGCCCTCACAGATCGATCCGGCTCGAGCAACGGTGGGGAAAGATGGGGTCCTGGGCTCCCGTCGTGATGCTTCCCTGTGTCCCCACTGTTTCGAGACACCAGATCTCAGGGAAGGTTGTTTACATGGAGGGGGGGGCGGGCGCGGCGAGGCCCGAGAGGAAATCTGCCCTTCACGCAGGTCGGGCCCCACTTGCACGCCTCTTCGGCCCAGCTCTGTCTGACATCAGGCGGCGCGCCCCGGGGCGGAAGTGAGGAGGGGCGGGCCTTCTCAGAGGGCTCGGAAGTTCCCTGGCCTTTGAGAAGTTGTCCTAGCCTTCCGCGAAGACACAGAACACTTCTCAAAGGCGCGAGGGCTTCTGAGAAGCCCCGCCGCCTTCTGAGAAGGCCGTCTCTTTCTCACTTCCCCCCTCGCTCGCCGCTGAAAACTGGAGCCAAGGGGGGGGCGGGAGTGCTAGGCAGACAAACTTGCCAGAGTCTACGCTCGAGGCGGCTGCGCTCTCTGGGAGGCTGCTTGCCTGGAGCACGCGGGCACGCTCGATGGTGGGGCGCGCTCCTCCTCCTCCTCCTCCTCCTCCTCCTCCTCCTCCTCCTCCTCCTCCTCCTCCTCCTCCTCCTCCTCCTCCTCTCTCCTCCTCCTCCTCCTCCTCCCCCTCCCCCTCCCTCCAGGCCCCGACGTGCTCGCGTCGTGAAGAAATATCACGACGGAAGGCGTTCGGCCGTTCTCGGCCCCTGGAGGAGGACCCTCGCGGGGCCTCGGGTCCAGGAACAAAAAGGGCTCCGGAGGAGAAACAAGCCTCGGGACTCTTGGGGGCCGCGCCTGGAAAAAAAACCAGGCATCGCACGTCTGGGGGGAAGAGGGGAGGGCCAACGCAGCCTGCCCCGAGGCATGTGCGCGGGGGGGCCCAAGGAGCGCATGGGAAGAGCAAAAGAGGGAGCCGTGAAAGCTGGGTGATCTCATGGCACCGGCCAGGATCATGACCACACCCCCGGTCCTTTCCCCCCTCCTGAGCACACCTGGTCTTCTCGCTCTCGCCAGGGATGGGGGAGGCAGGCCCAGATGGAAGGGACAACGATCGGGGGGGAAACAGCTCAGGGGGGAACTGTCGAGCTTGAATCGGCGATGCACCGCTGACAGATCGGCAACGAGAAGAACCCCGTACGCTCCTGGGCGGGATGGGCCATCGGGCCCCCAGCGGCGGTGAATGGGCGATTTGGGGATCGAGGCATCCCCCCCCCCCTGGAGCTCATCCCATCCCCCCCTGTTCCCGCCCAGCGGCGGGGACATGGTCGATTCCAGAAACCCTGAACCCAAAAATGTTGCCTTCTCTTGGGGGCGCATCGTTTACTTCCGCCGGCTTCCGGCGGCGGAGCCGCCCTCGTTCTACTTCCGCCACGTTCCGCCGCCTTCTGCCGATGAAGAGACACCGACTCCTTCGATCCTCGAATAGGCAAGGCCCTCTCTGGAACGCCTCATCTCCATGCACAACCTTCGGGGCGCACTCAGGGGAGCCTCCCACAACGCCTCGCTGGCTCTTGCGAATCGCTAGCCGACGCCAAGCCGACGCTGTCCAGCGCCAGATCGACCCTCATCGACACCCCTCGAGGGCGAGGCCCCCCTCTGGAGCGCCCCACGGCACCCCGAGGGGGGGGGCTCGGCGGGAGAGGGCGGCGCCCCCCGACGGGCTGCGGAGCGGGCCCAAGGGGGGCGGGCGTGCCAGTGGGCTCTGCGCGGTCGGGCGCGACGACACCCCCCCGGGGGGCGGGGGGGCCGCCCTCTCCCGGCGTGCTGCGCGCCTCGCGGGAGGGCCGCGGCGGACGGGTGGGGCGGCGCGGAGGCCACCGCTGGCGAGGCCGCCGGGATGTGGCGGGGTGGGCGGGGTGGGCACCAGCCAGTGACACTTCTGAATCGGTGGGAGGCGGGGGACGGCTCTTCAGATTTCGCCACGTGTTCGGCGAATTCCAAGCCCTACCCGCCCTGCGTCCATCGAGATGCCTGAATCCTTGATCGGCGAGGGTAGGGTGGGTTCGGATTTCTCCTCCGACCCAGTCCTCGACTTTGTGGGACCTCGATTGGGGGAAACGTCTCGGGCCCAGGTCAGACAATGCTGTCGGGGGAAGCCTCGGCTTGTCGGCCCGCGGCCCCCCCGCTCACTCGCCCGCTACGTCTGCCGCTGCCGCCGCCTCTCTCCCCTCCTCCTCCTCCTCCTCCTCCTCCTCCGCCTCCTCCTCCTCCTCCTCCTCCTCCTTCTCCTCCTCCTCCTCCGCTCTTCGGACCATGGACCTCTGCCTCCTGCTGGGCGGCTGCCTTCTGAGCTGGTGCCCCCGCTCCCCAGCGGCCAGGCTTCCCTTCGGCGCTTCGGCGCTTCGGCGCTTCGGCGCTTCGACTGTACCGATAATCCCGACGCAAAGTCGTCACACACACAGATGCATCCGCACATGCACATGTGCAGGCTTACATGTATGCATACATGCATGCATGCATGCATAACTATGTGCACGCATGTATACATACATACACATATATATATGTATGCATACATGCATGTATGCATGCATGCATACAGACATACACACCATCATACATACATACATACATACATACATACATACATACATACATACATACATGCATGCATGCATGCATGCATGCATACATACATACATACATACATACATACATACATACATACATATATACATACATACACACATGCATACATACATAAATGTATACATACATGCATACATATAATGTATACATATCATACATACATACATACATACAGACAGGCAGACAGGCAGACAGACAGACAGACAGACACACATACATACATACAAACATGCATACATACATACAGACAGACAGACAGACAGACATACATGTATACATACACACATACATACATACATACATACATGCATGCATACGTACATACATGCATACATGCATGCATGCATGCATACACACACATACATACAAACACCATTATGCATACAGTCAGTCATGCATACATACATGCATACATACACATACATCCAGACATGCATGCATTCATACACATACACAGACACACGCAGACATACATATGTACACACATGTACACATGCAGTATGCATACACACGCACATATATACACATACGTACATGCATATGTTCATGTATACATGCATTACAAACATACATGCGTACATGCATTATCTACATATACACATACATAATTACGTACACACATACACACATACGTACATACATACACACATGCATGTATACACACATACATACATACGTACATACATACATGCATACATACATACACACATACGTACACACGTACACACATACATGCATGCTTGTGTACATCCATACATGCATGCCTGTCTGAAAGCACGTATACGTATGCATACATAATATATTCATGCACGCACGCAAACCGACATACACATACATACACACATGCATACATACATACACGTACACACATACATACATACATACATACATATATACAGACAGACAGACAGACAGACAGACAGACAGACAGACAGACAGACAGACAGACATACACACACATACATACATACATACACACATGCATGCATACATACATACACATATGCATGCATGCACACATACATCTAAACACACTCGTACAAACGTATGTCGCACAGTTGCACACGTATATCATACATCTAGGTATACGCATTCCCGAGCATAGGCTCCCTCTGGACGGGAATCCATACCACGCTACACTTCCCCTGCCGCCCCGTCCAATCGCAACTGCGCCGCGAACGCCTCGACAATGTCAGCATCCACAAGGAAGCCGCCATCCTGTAAAGAGTGAGCCGCGGTGGACAGGCAACAAAGAGGGGAGACTGTCAGATAACGAATAAGCGAGGTGGCCGCAGCAGAAAACTCGAGCAAGGGACATGTATTATCTATACCCTTGCGTTTGTGACAACGTCGTTTCGCTACAAAGAGGTAGTATCCCGGACCTCCAGCATCGTTTTTGTTTTGGGTTTTTTGTGATAAGGCCCAAGGCTCGAGAACGGCTCCAAAATTTCGAATTTGCTACTCTGGCGTTCGCAAACGGGGGGGCAATGAACGGAAGGTGGCGAAACGTGCACCTTTCATAAGCACTTTGGGCCTCGGTTGCAGTTCACGGAACGTAGGACCTCTTCAGGGCCATTTTACTGCGACGATGGTCGACCCTCTCTGCTCATTCCGCCCACCGCTACCGAGCCCCGAAGATCATGCCCCGAGGCACGTGCGCGGACGAGGGGGGAGACCAGAGGACGCGTTGAAAGAAGAACACGGGGCCTTGAACTCCCGGGAGATTTCATGGCCCCCTCCATGACATCCACCCTCCACCTAGTCATCCCCCCCCCTGTGGACGCCCCAGACGCCCGCGACGCAACGCATGAGCCCGGGAAGGAGCCAAAGGCACGCGCACTCGCGCGAGCAGCAGCTTGACCGGAGGCGCCCGCGGCCGCAGCCGAGCAGCCACCACGGGGCGGGCGCCGCCTGCGCGGACTGGGCGCGCGGGCCTCGCTCTCCGCGGCCCAGCGCGCCCCTCCCCGGGCGGCGCCTCAGGCGCCGCCCCCGGCGCGCTTCGCGTCCGGCGCCGATCCAAGAAGTCCGCGCGGACCTCCGACGCTGATAATTGGAAGGACTCTCCTTCTTCGTGAGAGCGATCAGGTCGCCCAGAGGGAGAAGCATGCGCCCAGCATGCCCCCCCGGTTCGCGAGGCCACCCGCACGGCAAGGCGGGCCGCGCAATGCGCTCTCCCGAAACACACGCGAATACATTGGCAGCAGCAGCAGCAGCAGCAGCAGCAGGAAGAGGACGCCAGGCAGAAGCAGGAGCAGCCGCAAGATAATCCGGAGTAGGACGAGGAGGAGCAGTAGTATAATCAGCAAGAGGATCATCAGGAGGAGAAGCAGCTGGACAACGAGAAGCGCGGCAAAGAGGAGCCTGACCGACAGATAGAAGCATGCAGAGATAGAGGATGTCCGCATCCTCCTTCTCCATCCCGCCCCCTCGCACTCCATTTAGACAAAGGCAGGGTGATCTCAGATGAGGATACACTGGGAATCTCTGAAAACTGGCGGGTGTGGAGGATGTATTGGGCGCCGTGGCCGTTCCAGAGTGCTCCAGAACGCTCCCAGAGCGTTCACTAACGCTCACGAGCGATCTATCCTCAGCCCGGGCCAGCTTGATCCCGCTCCCCCCCTCCCCCCTTTCCTGCTCCTCCTTTCGAGGCCTGCAGCGGCCTCTGCAGCTCGCCACAAGCCAGAGGCCCCCCAAAGCCGCATCCCAAGAGAGCGGCAACACCGTGCAGAAGACCCGGGCCCCGATCCTCCGCCTCCTGCGACGACGACGACGACGACGACGAACCAAACATCCAACGTCTTGAACAGGCACAGCGCGGCTTTGTGCTCGTCGTTTTCGGCCTGGGGGCCCTCGCTGGGCCCCGCGACCGTCCGTTCAGGACGACTCGGGATGGCGCCCTTTCGGGAAGCGGTCGTGAACGGCGGGGGCCCGGTATTCGCAAGAGAAAAGCAGGCCTGCTATCGATCAGACGTCCGTTCTCCGTGCATTTTCAAATTTCGCGCGTGCGTTTTTTGCCACATGATCCAGGATGCTCCTGGACGGTCCTAGCCGAGAAAAAAACATGCACACGTCCGAGCGATGCCAAGCCCGTTGGGCGCTGGCGGTGGCGGCGACGACCTTTTCGTCTCTCCCGAGCCCCCGCCGAGCTCCGGCACACCCCTGGCGAGCATGCGGCGAGGAGGGACGAGGCGGGAGGGTCGAGGAGCGGCACGCCCCGCTGCCGCCGTCGTCGGCGACGGCCACGGCGATCACGACGGCGACCACAACGAGGGCGGCGACGGCGGCGGCGGCGGCAGCGACGGCGGCGACGGCGGCGACGACGGCGGAGACGTCGGAGACGGCGGCGACGACCCCTGAGATCCGACGTCTCGAAAAAATGGCGCCATCGTGTAACAAGAACCCGACTGGAGCCCTAAACTCCATCTTTCTGCGCAATTTTTCAAGCCGGGTCGATCAGTGAGGGTGGCGGGGCCCAGAAAAACGCGAACACTCCCGGCTCGAAACAATTGAGACGCCAGGATCTCAGGGACGGCGGAGACTGCGGCGACGGCAACCGCGACGATGTTGGCGACAATGCCAAGGACCGCGGCGACGAATACGGAAAGTTCATGACGTGCCGCCGACTCGGCATTGGTTCCTGACACCGTGGGGCTAGGTCAACCTTGAACTTGAACGATCGGCCGTTCCAAAACGTCACATGGCTCAACATCGATTGATTCCGGGTCGCCGGCGACGGTCAACGTTGAATGCAGGCGGCGGGGTCGCCGCCGGTCGACACGACGCGGACTTACAGTACTGTGCGACGACTGCCAGAGCCGCGGCGGAGGCGGCGGAGCGGCGAGGTGCTCGGAAGGCCTCCGGGCCGCCGAGGGGCATCGTGGCCACGGCGGGGCACCGCATGCACTGGCTTAGGGCGTCCTCTCGGGGCCGCAGGATCGCCGGTTGGCCGCGGTCGTCGGCGTCGAGCTCGGCGTCGTCGCCCTCCTCCTCCTCCTCCTCCTCCTCCTCCTCCTCCTCCTCCTCCTCCTCCTCCTCATCGTCCTCCTCCGCTACCCGACGAGCGAAGCCGTTTAGAAAACGGCCCAAACGAAGGAATCGAATAGAGCAAGGCTGTTTAGTAAGCAGCCAGGGCCGAATATTAACCGGCAATGACTCTGGTCAGGATGTGTTTTCCTCCCTTGATCCTGATACTCCTCCAACAGCCTCCGATGGGGAGCGGAGCTGGCGCGCTCATCCGTGGGGCGGGGCACCTCGCCCGCTGCTGGCGCTCATGGTGTGGACGTGGCGCTAACCCAGCGCAGCTCTCTCCATCCCTATCGCGCTCCCCTACACCTCCTCCTCCTCCTCCTCCTCCTCCTGCTCCTCCTCCTCCTCCTCCTCCTTCTCCTCCTCCTATCCCTGCCTTCTACACCCCCCACCCCCCCTGCCGCACTCCCCGAGACGGGTCGGTCGGGCGGGTCGGGCGTTTCGCCTGAGACTTCTTCACCCTTAATGACCCCGAAGCTTGGAATTTTCACCAGCTTCACGGATGGAAGGCTGAACGTTTTCAAAATGTGGCTCCCGCCGTAGCGCCGCGCACATTCGTTTTAAAGTTTGTGAGAGCTTTACTGATGGAGGGCCACATGCGTCCGCCACGCCCAGCACAGCGCTTCGTTCCTTATGGGGAGCTCCACCCAAGGCCACAGTGGGGGTGGACACATGCGTCCGCCACACCCCCCAGTCCAGCTTTTCGCGGCCCCATAGGGAGCTCCACCCAAGGCCCCAATGGGGGTAGCCACATGCGCCCGCCACGCCCAGCACAGCGTTCCGTGGCCTTTCAGGGAGCTCCACCGAAGGCCCTAGTGGGGGTGTCCGCATGCGCCCGCCACACTCAGTACAGCGCTTCGTGGCCCCATAGGGAGCTCCACCGAAGGCCCCAGTGGCACCGCCCGCATGCGTCCGCTACACCCAGTACAGCGCTTCGTTGCCCCATAGGGAGCTCCACCGAAGACCCCAGTGGGGGTGCTCGCATGCGTCCGCCACACGCACTACAACACATCGTGGCCTCATAGGGAGCTCCACGGAAGGTCCCAGTGGGACCGCCCGCACGCGCCCGCCACACCCAGTACAGCGCTTCGTTGCCCCATAGAGAGCTCCAGCGAAAGTCTCAGTGGAACCGCCCGTGTGCGTCCCCCCCACCCCCCACCCAGTACAGCGTTTCGTGGCCCTATTTGGGGGCTCCACGGAACACCCCAGTGGCACCGCCCGCATGCGTTTCCATCACCCACTACGGCGCGTCGTGGCCCCATAGGGAGCTCCACCGAAGGCCCCAGTGGGGGTGCCCGCGTGCGTCCGCCCCACCCATTACGGCACGCCCCATCACGCGGTGCGTGGCCCACCGGAAGCGGCACCCGCAACGCGTTACTCACAACGGCATATGGTTGGGGCCTTCGCCGGGATAGTTTATAACTATTTTTGAATGATATTCTTCCTGTAGGGGGACAGGCCCGACTTAACGCAATGGCTCGACTGGAGGGAAAAACAAAACCGCATCAGACAGCTTTGCCGCAGCTCCGCGCGTGTCTCTCGGGTCGGCGCTAGACCCCACTCTCTGGCTCGCGGAGCGCGCCAGGGGCGGCGCCGGAGGCGCCGCCAGGGGGGCCCAACGCGGGCCCGAGAAATCCGTGTGGACCGTCGGGAAATTACAATCAAGCTACTACGGTAAGGAACGCTGAAGAAGGAACGAAGCCCCGTTCTGGCCACCGAAAGCCTAGGTGCACAAGCAGCGCCAGAGGAACAACAACGAATATATCCAAAGAACAGCGAGCCTACACGGTTCCTCACTTCGGCGTCTTGACTGCACGTTGATGCACTTGTTCTCCTTCGATCGATGGTTCCGGCCCGCCCCTCCCGCCACCGCCGCACCCCTGCACACTGCCATACCAGTGTGCCTGGGAACTGCTGGTACCCTGGGCTGCGGCAGGTCCGCGTCGTGACGACATCGGCGTTGGTTTCGGGCGCCGCGCAAGCCTGAGCCGTCGGGGCGTTCCGATTGTGCAGATCGTACGATGTCGGCCGACTCCAGGCAACCAGCGGCGTTCAGCCTTGAGCGACGCCGCGTCGACACGACACGAACCTGCATACCGCACCAAAGGCGCCGAGGCTTGACCTGGCCACTTCTGGAAGCCCTCAACCCAAAAATGTCGACGTCTCACTTGTACAATCGCCGCCTTCCGCCGACCTTTCACCGCCGGACCCGCCGCTGTTTGCTCCTTCCGCCGGCCTTCCGCTGAGAGCGAGGCCTTCTCTAGAGCGCTCCGCCTGGACACGCTTGTATAGCGTTCAAGGAGTTCAGGGGGAGACGGAAGGGGGAGGACAGGCCGACGACCGAGAGCGGCGGCCAAGATGCGAGGCGGGGAGTCATCCACAGCCACCCACTTGGCAATCGATCCGCGGGGACCTCGGCACATATCTGTCCCCCCCCCCCGAGGCCCGAATATATCCTGCCGAAGCCCCCGAAGATGGACCCCCCTGGCGGCGGTTCCGATTGAGCTCCCACCTCGGGCAAGAGGGGCGGCCCTCGAGGTCCTGGGCGGTGGTGTGCACGCGCCGTAGCCGCTCCCGCATCACCGCGACGATCTCTTGGTCGCTGAGGCCCGGGTCCAGCGGGGTCGCGTCCCTGGCGGCTCCGAGGGGCGCCCGTGGCGACCGTCGGCCGGCCGTCGGCCGGCTGCTTGTGGCGGGCGTCGCCGCCGCCGTCGCACATCGCGGGAGCGCGCCGTTCACGAGACAGAGAGACCTGCAGCACCCCTTCGCGCCGCGAGGAAAGCGCGGCAGGGGGCTTCTGGGAAGTTTTCGGCCTTCGGGGGCCCAGGGGCCGTCAAGAGACGACTCGGGTTAACAGCGTGTCTTGGGGGAGGGGCTCAAAACTCTGCGGGCCCGCGCTGTGGAACAAACCGCGACTTCGGGAGTCGTTCGCGAGAGAGAGAAAGAGAGAGAGAGAGGGAGATTCAGGCCTCCTGAATGGGGCTGGGGTCACTGGAGCCCCAGATCGCGCAAGGTCGCCAATGCATCGCAAGCGCAGCGGTGTCTGGATCCCCACCGTCTCCTTGTCGACATGCGGTGCCTGAGAACATCACAACCCACCCCCACCTCCAGCCAGGACCCCCACTCCCGACCTGGTGATCCAAGGTTTCCTGGCCAGGGACGGCGGTGCCTTTAGGAGCTCTCAGGGGCTATAAAACCCACCCTCACCCCCGGCCAGGCCACCCTGGATCACCAGGTCTGGCTGGGGCTGAGGGCTGTCCTCAGGTGCACTCTTGGTGCCATGTTTGCTCGGGAGCAGGGATGCCGCCACGCCTTCTCCCCTCGTCGGAACTCGTCTGCTCCACTGGCGCGCCGCGCGAGGAACAGAAGAAGAAGAAAGCACCGTGTTTCCAGCAAGCACATGAGCAGTAAAGGGAAGGAAGCGATCGGAGGGTGCTCGGCTTCACCTCGCCTGCCTCTGGCCCTCTGAAGAAGAAGAGGAGGAGGAGGAGGAGGAGGAGGAGGAGGAGGAGGAGGAGGAGGAGGAGCCAGCCATGCTGCCTGCAACAAACAGTCTGCTCCGCCCGCGCAGCAGCCCGCCGCTCACTTCTTGGCTGGGGCAGCCGTCAGCGGGCCCTGGGTCAGGTAGGTGAAGCAGCCGGCGGCAACAATTACCGCGGACAAGCAGGAGGCCGCGGAGCTGCTGATGTGCGTGAAGATGGGGGAGATCATGACCACGACCGGGCCGCGCAAGCAGGTGGCAATGGTCTTCATGACCGAGTCCGTGTGCTTCAGCAGGCGAGACACCAGCAGGCCGACGAGGGACTGCAAGCCGATGGTGAGCCAAGTGTGGCTGTCGAAGCCGGCGAAGAAAGTACCTGCGATGCGGGCCGGGTCCGTGGCCGCCAGGAAGACCAGCGAACAGACCACGCAGAAGCTGTAGAGCACCATGTTCTGCACGTTGATGTCGAGGGCCCTGTTCTGCTTCAGCGCGTACTCGTTTGCGACGGAGCCAAACGCGTTGCACAGGGTCATGAGTAGCACCCACATGAACATCCACGAGAACTCGCCCGAGGACCTCGCCGAGAACACCTTGTTGACGACAAGACCGAGGAACACAATGAAGATGCCACCCAGCCTGGTCCAGCCGAGCTGAACATTGAAGACGCACCTCCACATGGCAGCGGTCCAGAGGATCATGGTGTCGCGGAACACGCCGAAAGTAGACACGTCGTTCTTGCCGATGGCCTCGAACACGAGGATGTTGTTGACGGTGAAGACCATCGCTGGCACAGCCAGCCACTTGGCGTCCGCGAACGTCAGCTCGGTGGGGACCAGCGGCCTTCCATCGGACTGGACCGAGATGAGGTAGATGAGCATGGAGATCCAGAACTTCACCGCCTCCGTCAAGAGCACGGCGCAAACGGGGTTGAACGCGTAGCCGCCGCTGTCTCCGTGATCGTTCCCTCCCTTCTTCTGCACCGCGATGGAGATGTCGATGGCCACGGAGAAGCAGATGTAGATCGCGCACACCAGGTACGGCAGCATCTTTGCGGGCACCATGGGCCCGACGAAGCCGCCCACAGCGAAGGCTGCCACGCCGCCGGCGAGGACGATCGGCAGCGTGACGAAGCCGCCGACGGCACCCTGGAACGAAACCTTCTCGCCGGAGGAGTCCGCCGTGAGACTCTCGCCACTGCTGGTGGCCTGCAGCTTCGCGCCGACATCGAGCACCTCCACCTGCAAGGCGGTGGCGGCGTGCAGGGCGAGCAGTGCCGCCAGCGCGGACAGGGCGCGCGCCATCGCGGGCGGGGGGTACGGTATGTGGAGGTCGGGTACTACCAGTCTCTGTGGCTTGGCGCCTTGAGCCAAAATGGCCACGGAGGAGCAAGGGGAGGAGGGAGAGGGACATCAACCAACTGCAAGTTTTCGCACTGCCGCATGCCATTTGTCCGCCGGCAGTGAGTGCGGGCTACTGCAACAAGGAGCGGTAAACGAGAGACGAGTTCTCTGTGGGTCCCAAAGCTCGAGTAGGGGGTCGGCTACATAATTAATTTAACCCGGAATAGATTTCCCCCGTCGAATCTACAACGAATACGTGGCATGTTCGCAAACCTACTGGGAATTCTCAGTCATTGTCCGTTGATTCGACGAGAAAATCAATTTTTGGGTCAATCAATTCTGTAGTCGATCACCTACTCGAAAGCGCCTGCGTGTGCCAGGAGCGCTAGAAGATCAGCCAAGGAAAGGCTCGAGGGAAAGGGAGCCAATTCAGAGCCCGAGCGGTTCTTCATTCCTGCGACTTTCTCAAGCCCTCCGTCAGTCAAGGCTCGACGACCTCATCCCCGTCCGCGCGCGCCTCAGACATGTGGCGGTGAGGCCCAGACGCTCAAGCCACTCCAAATTATCCTGAGGGGGCCGTCGGACGTTGAGGCCAGCCAACCTCAAGAATCCGTCCAGATTCGGTCACAGGACGCCTCCTGGGATCCATCTCAGCAACTCCTGCACCCCGGATCAGTTATGAAGGCCCCAGAGCCCGGAATGGGAATCTGGAGGACAGAAGTGGCGCGAAACCTCCGCGGGTCTTGATCCTATATGCTCGATGCTCTTCCTCCGTCCCCCCCATCCTCCTCCACACGCGGACAGGGCTCCTCCACACGGACTCGCTCTT